TAAATTAGCTTTGCCATTTTTGTCGCCCTTTACGCTAAATACGTAAATATGTATGTATGTACATTAACTGATTTTTTTATGTATATATGTAGGTTTGCAAATATTTTGTTTTTGCTCGATACATTCATATTTGCCCGCATTTGCTGCCTAAATTTGTTCAATATTTACAATATTTTTACACTTAGTGGACACTTCAGAATTGTACGCTTTTTTGTTTGGGCTCGACCTTGGGATATAATACAAATCTTTAATTCGATCTTAACAAAAAATAGAAGAAAAAGTAGCACTCAAAATCCTACTGAATATTTTAAGTGAGAATGTGAATCTTCAATTTCATCGTCCGTATTTCTTCAAATATGATGCCGGTCGATTGGCCGCCAAGATCGTGTGATATATCACACCGTTAGACTTGTTAGTTCGAATGTTAACAAATATTCCCTATTAAATTTGATGTTTTTTCTTAAAAAAAAAGTAGGGAACCTCAAAATGAATTACCGTTTGTAAGGTTTGGTTTTTAATTGTAAAAACCAGAGGTGCTTGCATGCGAAGAGGTGGTTATGAGAGGTGTCGATTCTGGATAAGTACGAGTTTAATTTGCTACTGTATTCAGAACACAGTTGCGCGAGGGTTAGTCTAGATTTTCAGGGCTACATGTTGTTTCTGTATCGGCAGAAAACATTCCTCAAGTGATGTCGACCGTTCCCACGGCGATCTGGTCTAAGTGACCGGAACGGTCCCAGTTTGTTAAACGGCCAAGGACTGTTAATTCTTGGAGCAGATCGAGCTCCTGGTTTGACTCCAAGACCCCCATTCACTGAGTGGGGGTCAGTGAAAATTTTGATGGCTTCACTGTGTATGACGGTCAGTTCGTGTCCAAAGTTAGTTGCGTTCGAAGACTGATCGGCCTACTGGTCCATGCCGTCGACGTAATGTTGGCAACAGATCTGGATGTTCGTAGGAGACTGTTCCACTTCAAGCAGATGATTTCAGTGATAGTACTGCGAAAAAAAACTCGGTGCTCAAAGAAATCGTTTTTGATTGAAAGTTAATGACGTTTCTGGAATATTTGGACACTGTTCTCGGAGCTGGAGCAACGAAAATTACTGCTTTTAGATTACAACTACCTCAAAGTTTCAAAAGTACTTCATCTTCATAAAAAAAAGTAGACGAGAATGAGACAAGCTTGACAAATTAAAAAAAAAAAATTATAAAGTTTAAATAAATTTGGTTTTATAGTAAAGCTGTAAGATAAAAATGTTGTTAACTGAGGAATGTTGCATAAAAACAATTAAGTAATACATCCAAAAAGCAAGACTTTTGGTAAAATTAACCGATGTCTAAATTATGAAATCAATACTAAGCAGTATATTGATTGCTTTAATTAAAAACTAGTAGATCCCTCCATTTGCCATTCCTGAAGAGGATTATTTTACTCCGTGGATTACATTATGGGCCTTTTATTAATGATTCTTAACTTTTTATTACTATATATAATATAGCCTGCGTGCACCGGAGAGAGTTTAGTTTTCCAACGGTAGAATAATTTTTCAAATATGTCAAGAGTTTCGAAGCCTGTTCATCTCAAATTAACAAACAGTCAAATCTCTTTATGATATTAAAATCTCCTTATAAACTTATTAAGTGTTTAGTATTTTTAAAATATAGTATATGATGATTTTTTCTTTAGGAACCAAGTACAATTCCAGAAAAATTATTTAAAAAATAAGATTTTAAAGATATTAAAAAAATATATATTAAAATCAAAAACTAAATTAATATGAAAAGTACAAAATGATCAAATGTTTGCATATCTCAAGGCGCCCAGCTTTACAAAAAATATTTAAGCTTCGAAGTACGCTTCAATCAAGCTCCGTACCATGAAGCTTTTTTCGGAAGCTTATTTACAAAGTTATATTTTGAATTTGTATTTTTTTTACGATTAAAATTATGCAACAACTGGTGTTTTTATGAACTCTGTATAATCATTCTTATTCAACAATTTTAACAACATCGCGTCTATAAATATTTTTTACACTTTAGATTGTTTTAATTATTTTTTAGCTTGATGCAGTAGCTACTATTGATTTTTTCAACTTTGCTTAAAAAATTATATGGTAAAAATGGCATTTTTCGAAATACACTTACATATAGACATATGTATATGGATTTCTAACGAAAGGGAGTGCACTAAATTGTGCTCTACTCACACATATACAGTTAACATGTAGATATTACGACTATAAGCTCCAATTTTACAACTGATTTGAGTACTTTTCTGGCTTTTGAGTTAAACTGCGCACACACATGCATACATTAATGTGTGTGTGTATGCGCAATATTCATTAATTATTGTATGTAATGTTTAAAGTATTATCTGCGCTTTAGGACTAATTGTATTTGAAGCTTTCATTAAACACAATGTGCTCAAATTAGGCTTCGGCTTCAATTACATACATACATCAACAGTTAAGCATTTTACAGAGAAATTTGTTAAGAACTCGTGTTGAAGAAGGCAAATTATATTAGTAACTATACAGAGACTAAAAGCCGAATAGCAAAGTTGAGGAACTAAATTAAAGCGAGTTAGTTAGTAATGGTAGTTTTCGGTTTGGAAAAACGCTTGCCTATGGAAAGTATACCTCATTGTTTTGTATCTTTTTTTATTATTTCTTACTGGTTACAAATACTATAATATATAGGCTATATACAGGCGCGTCGTCTTGGTAAGAGGACAAAAAGTTTGCAGCTTTTTAAGCTCTCAAATTTTTTTTGGAAAAATTGAATTTTCATCAATTTTTAGTAAATTTTTCTACAGCATTTACACATACATACATTTTATGTCAACAATTTTAAATTTCTTATGCTAAATGTTCATCTCTTCTACTGTAAGTTTGTGCAATTTGTTTTGAGTTTTTAAAAAGTGCTTAAGTTACCGTAACAACTTTCAAAAAAATCATTGTAACTTTTTTGTCTTCAGCACAATTCTAAAGTAAATGTTTTCTTTGTTTTCTACAGAGGTGGGCTTTGCTCTTTATTATAATGTAGCACTTTACTAATGTTATTTTATTTCATTTACCGTTATTATTATTTTAATATTTTAATTTTTTATTGTAAATCATATATTAAGTAGTATTGGGTTTTCAGCTTATTCGTATTATACAATCTGCTTAATATTTCGTTTGTTTGCAGAAAATAATAAAAAAATATATATCATTTTTTATATAATATCATTCATCGTAATCCTATAGAAATAAACTAAAAATTGGTACTCATAATTGGCTTCATTTCCAGAAAAGACAGGGAATTGAGGTGGACAGGGACACAGGGTTAAGCATCTATGGGCCAAACGAGTGAGGGTTGGTGTCTTTACAACAAAATTTGACAACAAAATCGCTTTCCGTCTAGAAGATCACTGCAGTGTCTTCCAAGCAGAGATCATAGCAATTAAAGAAAGACGTCTAGTTCTGACAAGGGGTGAGCTCACAACAAGAAATATATTTATATAAATATATTGTGACAAAAAAGTACCCGTAAATTATAAATAAAACCCAAATTCCAGTCCTCGAAACACCTTTCATAAAAACTTTGGCTTTCAGCTCCTTCAGCGAATTTTATCTCTTCGATCGACTGAATACGAGTTTCATTGGGATGATTGTTGACATGTTTGCATGTCAAACTTATAAACCAATGTCTCACTGGCAGTTATAATGCTCTCCATGAATGTCGGAACGGAATTTGCACGATGAAGTATGTCCAAAGAGACCTGTTTACGGTGCTCTTTTTGAAAACAATTCAGCTTTATCGGGCCGAGTCGAGCAGAAACACGTTTCATACCCAAAATATCCATCAAAACCATCCGAACAGACCCGCGAGAGATGTCGAGCTCTCTTGTCATCTCTCTAACTCTTGCCTGAAGATTCCCAAGCACCATATTCCTCACTTTTTTAATATTTTCATAAGTTGAAGAGGTCGAAGGTCGTCCAGAACGAGGCATATCTTCAAGGTTCTCTCGACCGTCTTTGAAGGCTTTATACCACTCGTATGCTTGTGTTTTTGATAAAACTGAATCACAGTAAGCCTTTTCCAACATTCGAAACAATTACGTATACGAAAAATTTCTTTAGAAATACAAAATTTGAAATAAATTCTTTGTCCCATATTTTTATCAGTTGCAAAAATCGGAACGAACTACCGAGCTCGCGATCATATTTGGCATAATAATTAAGGGCTGTCCTACCAACTTAGCATACTACCTTTTTTTGTTTTTAAAACATCATTTATCCGGGGAATTTAATTACAATTTCCGGGAGCACTTTTGTCACACTATATGCAGATAGCCAAGAGGTTTTAAAATCACTAGAGTCTCTTAGGGTTTCGTAGAAGAAGGTGAAGGAATGCCTTACCCTCTTCTTGGATCTAACATCTTATTTAACGATAAACTTGCAATGGGTTCCAAGTCACGGTAATATTCCTAGTAACTGGGACGCACATTAACTAGCCAGAACAGGCTCCACCCCACAATTAAATACCGAAAAAGAGGGAATTTTTATGTCTCTGACTACTTGTAGATAGTGGGGGGAGACTACTAGTAACGCCTGACTATTGTGGAAGCAGTCGGGAGGTAAAATAAGATAAAACATCTTCTATGCGAATGTAAAGCTCTGTAAGGGAAAAAATTGCAAAGATCTGTCGAGGGTTTCTTGACGATATTTTAGAGGTTGACCAGATATAACTTTTTGCACTGTTGAACTTCATTAGAAGCGTGGAGTGGTTCAGCGAGGAGACGATAGAGTATCCTCTCACTCTAATAAGTGCCGGTAGTTTCACAATGGGTCACCTAAAGTATTTTATTTCTATAATTTTTTAGAAATAAAATACCGCTACATTAAACAATTCTAAATTAATAAACTTCTTAGTAAAAATTTTAGAAAAATGTAAAAAAATTAATAAATACATATATCTAAAATAAAAAAAAAAAAAATATAACTGCTTACCTTCTTAAGCGTATTTAAATCTATATGTCTGTATGTACATAATGCATTTGTCAGCTTTCAGATCTTTGAAAATGGTTCCGTTTCAGGTTCTTACAACATTTTTCAAAAACAAAAAACTAATAATAATCACGTGCCACCTACAAAATCTTTTATCTTCATTTCTTATTATCACTTCACTCGATTTCATAATTTTTTACGACTTTCTTTTAACCATTTTTTCACGCTGCTTTCACACCCATGTTGTAGACTTTGTATTTCACTTCGAATGTGACACGATTGAGTGCGAAATGGCGGAATGTGATAGCATTGAATGCGAAATGCCCGATATCTCGGCATCGGTCGGGCCCTCTACACTGCACACAGAGTCTTCGGGTGTGCGCGATGGTTCGGCTTCGGTAATTTCAATATCTTGATGATGCTTGTTGCTACGGTGTTTGGCACTCAGAGCCTGCAGTTGCGAAAAAGCGAAAAAATAAGTCAAACAAAATGATTATTACAGGTAAATATATGCATTTTTTTTTAAATTGAGTAGTAGTCAATAAGTATGGACATCTATTAGGCATACTGGTATTGTGCTGATATGAGTTTCTTTCATTTTGTATTATTAAAAGAGTTGGTGAAAAATTGTGCGTTCACATATATTCATATGTATGTATGGAAAACCAAAAACAAAAGATTTAACAATGATATACAGTTAATACAAGCGCATGCTCTTCATGCGATTTCTACCTTCAAGTCATTGAAATTATGCATGTATGTTGTTAATGGGTGTTAGAAGTGTAAAAACCAAATTTCAAATAAATCGTAGGCATCTACATAATGATTTTTTTTTTTTTATAAAAAGGAAGCTATTTTTGAGGGATTGTTCACATCTATGTACATACAAGTGATATTTTGTAAGTATAACAAGGTATATTATAAAGATTTATATAGGTACATATATAAAAAGAGGAAGTCAGTGTCGAAAGTGTGCGCTGTGGTCGTGTGCTTATCTTGAATGGGTATGTTGCTGAGCTAGGATAAATAATTTATGTGAACACATACATATGTATGTAAGTTATATACTTTTTCATAGTGCCTAGATGGAGCAGAGGGCAGACACAACATATGTGGATATTATTTTCTACATTCTTGTTACAAGAGGACTCTATAAATTCGAAAATAGGATTTTGTTAACGTTTTTGAAAATTCACCTAGCGCAGTTTTATGATCCACTACTCTCTTTACGAAATCTAACATAACCTAAAAGTAAAGTTTCTGTGCCTTTAACAAGGTGTTTATTAACCGATACAATTATACATCTAAAAGCGAATTCATGACTATTTCCTTTTGAATATTTTACAATCACAAAAAAACATCAACATAACTGTATTTAATATAGCTTTCCGCTCATGAGGAACTTTGCTAGGTTGGCATGAAACAATGGTCCTTATTTAAACGTATACAATGTTCTCTATTTGTTTTATGCTTTTACAACATTAAACTTCAAATTTAAAGTTTTATCTTTATATAACGAAGTTTTCAATAAGAGCGCTATACGGAAACAACGTTTTCAAACATAAATCAGCCGATACTGCTGCAATTTCACGTTTTATATTCGTACGAAGTTTATCAATCGTCGCTGGCTTGTTGGCATAGACCATAAATTTGACGTAGCGCCACAAGAAATAGTCAAACGGCGTCAAATTGCACGACCGAGGTCGTGAATTGATTTGGCCATTTCGTGAGATAACACGTTCACCAAACATGGTTTTCAATAATAGATTGTGATATTCGCTGTGTGGCTCGTGCCGCCCAGATGTCGGGGCCACACATTGTCCAAGTCCAATGCAAAGATGATCTCCAATTCGGGTCAAAAATATTCGGTTATCATTGCGCGGTAGCGATTCCGATTCACAGTAATGTGCCGGTCGGCCTTGATTATCACGGAAAAATTACGGCCCAACGACGCCGCCGGCCCTTAAACCGCACCAAACCGTAATTTTTTTGGGATGGAATGGTGACTCATTGCGTACGTGTGGATTGCTGCCTGATCAATAACGCATATTTTGCTTATTGACTAAGCCATTCAGCCAGAAATGAGCCTCATCGCTGAAGATGATTTTTCGATGGAAAATCCGGATAATTTTCAAGTTGTTGCTCAGTTCGATTCACGAACATCCGACGATTCTGGTGGTCAAGAGGCTTCAGTTCTTGCGTCAATTTGATCTTGTAGGGATGTAAGCCAAGATCTTTTCGCAAAATTCACCACAACGACGTCACAGAGATGCCCAAGGTTTGAGTACGACGTATGAAAGTCTGTTTTGGGTCTTCCTCAATTGATGTGCTAACGGCAGCAATATTCTTGACACCATGGGCACTTTTTTGTCTTACTGACACTGTGCCTGTGGATTCAAATGATCTGGCAGGACGATTATGACGACCATAAATTGTACGTAGCGCTGCGCTCTATAAGCTGAGACCACTCACTCCGAATTTCGGCAGAAAACTTTAATATAGTCGACTCGTTGTTGGATCGTATATCTTTAAATGATGAAATGGCAAACTTTAATGAAGAGAAATGTCAAAAGAGCGGGAAAAATATAGCGTCGTTTGCTATCCCTATCGGTCTACTATTGTAGCATCCCTTTGAAAATACCGGTTATATGTAATATATGAACTAAATTTAAGGCAACAGCGTTGGGTTTTGATATAGTCTTCTCTCGATCATCTTTGAGATCGATAAGAATTTTAAAGTATTTCCCACTTTACAGGATCCGTTAGTTTAAAGTTTGTATTATATAATGTAAAAGAAAACACGTTTCTGCACCTCCTGATACAGGCTCCAACACACAACAACTCACAGCACACATTATTATAGAAGGATTTTTGGAGGTTACACCAGTAATATATACAGAATACTCGGACACACCGAACAGATTTACAATCATATTCACACATTTAAGAGCAGAACGGGAAAGTAAGGTGGGTTTAATGTGGGACAGCAAGTTTTCAGGTCAAGAAGTTAAATTAAGTACGCGGGATATTGGGAGGATTTTATTCAAATTTGTTAACTACACAAGAAAGGAGAGATTTTGTCGATGTGTTTAGTTCGGTTCTTACCTTATCTTTGCTTCCTTTTTTCTACATGGTAACGAAATTAGTAACGAAAACATTTAAGATAAATTAATAATGAACGTTAGAATTGAAAATGAATTGTTTACAAAATCAATATAAGAATTGGTATGCATGAAATTTCATTTATAAGCTAACTATGGGTAATACATATATGTAATATATTATATATATATTGTAGACTATAATTTCAGACATGACCACGTTTTGTATAAACAAACTGAATTGAATATTGTAGGTTATGATTATGCATGAATTTGTGTATGATAACCAACTGATTAACACTAAATCGGGAATGAGGCTAAGCGAATGCTCAAATACTAAATTTTCGAAAAGGCAAATAAGGGTTTCTGGAAACTATTAAACTTCCGTGAATGAAATATAAATTATTTAGTAAATCATAACTTTTAGCGCTAATTCATGATTTCAAATATGTATATATTATATAATATATATGCAAATCACTGTAGAGTTTATAGATATACACTGATTTTGGGCTCAGTAACTTTATAGATTTAATTTGTATATAAATGGATTTTGCTTATGACGAATTTTCAAATAAATGCTATTTATAGTTAAAAATAACGGTATATTTATACGTATATGTATTTCTTAACTTCTTGTCAGACAATTTTCTTTCTAACTCATAGTCAGAGGCTTTTATATTCTTTGCAAAACTTACTTGTAACGAGAACCGACGATGTCCAGCTTTCCGTCCGCCACGTCGTTTACTTATATGCGGATTGTCTTGACGTAAGGTTTTATTCTTTAAAATTTCAAGTTGTGTATACAGTCTGGAAACAAATTTATATAAATAGATATTATTTTTTCCTAAATTAAATATAAAAATATTGATGTATATTAGAGGCATTGACAAGTAAAGTGTTAGTATAAAGCATTATACTTGTCAAAATTGAAAATATTTATTTAAAATAATATTAAATTTTAGAAAAATTTTAGTATTTTTTTTTTGTTCCTATAAAAAAAATTAAATTTTATCACTTTCAACAATTTGCTGTGAACGCCAGTAATATACAACTGCATATTATCATACTGCATACCTTTTAAGTTCAGCACGTATATCCTCTGGGCTCATTTCGGCAATGGTCAGTTCACCAATATCGGGATCACCCAAACATAGACCAGCATAACCACCGCCCAGACGTTGCGGATCGTTGACCTTGAAAGCATCCACAGGTAAACGTATTGATAGATTCATGGGCAAGGGGACCTGCAAGCTATGAATTTGCAACAAACACTGCCAAAACACACGAAGGATGGTAACGAAAATCATAACACAACAACAACAGAAGAGTGATAGTTACATACATTAAAGATTTTGTATGTATGTTTGTTAGAACAAATTAAGTGGGGATGAGAGAAGAAAATTATGATTATTTTATAAAAAAATATAACAATTGCATAGAGGATGGAAAAGTTAAAGAAGAACGCTTAAAAATTTTAAATTAAAAAAAAT